TGGATCATACTATTAAACTATTTAAACTCTTTACAAGAACAGAGGATGTTAGTGAAGTGGAAAGAGGCATCACGGAACACCTAAAGTTGCTCCTCTTACACCGTGTAATTGATGACGAGGTATATAACAACCTAAAACCGGGAGGGTCCAACATACCTCTGCTATACGGTTTGCCAAAGACCCATAAATGTGGTATACCGCTTAGACCAATCTGTCAATGGCAAACGGCACAACATAAGTTGGCTCGTTGGCTGGTAAAAGTGCTTTCGCCGTTAAAGCAGCAGACCATCCCATACCGTCTGAAGGACTCTTTCGAACTTACAGAGGCTTTAGATGAGTTTAACCTATCCGATAAACTCATGTCCACATTGGATGTACAATCGCTTTTTACCAATGTTCCGCTACATGAAACAGTTGATTACGTGTGTGAAATGGCAGAGTGCTCCGATTTTACACTTCCAATGCCAGTCGAATTATTAAAGGACAGCTTACTACTATGTACTGAGAACATCGGTTTCCAATTCCAAAACATTCCTTATCGACAGATAGATGGGGTGGCAATGGGTAGTCCGTTGGGCCCAGTACTAGCAGATTTTTTCATGTCGATGATTGAAAAGAAGTTGAGTGTGGAAATATCGCTGCTTTCCTACTATAAGCGATATGTGGATGATATTTTGGTGTTTAGCTCATCAGAGGAGCACATTGCGCGTCTAGTTGATCGCATGAATAACGTGCATACGAATCTGAAAGTAAACAACGAAACTGAGAAAAGCAACTGCCTTCCATATCTGGACGTGTTGATTTGCCGAAGAGCAGATGGGTCCATCAAAAGAGAGGTTTACCGAAAACCGACTTGGTCAGGGCAGTACCTACACTTTACCAGCTTCTCCCCAATGCGGTACAAGCGGACATTAGTCAAGACGCTATTCAACCGTGCAAGGAAAATATGCACTACCGACAGTTTAGATGATGATATAAACTCGCTCAAGGATACGCTGTTGAAAAATGGCTATCCAAGTAGGTTAATCGACAAACATAGTCAGGTGAGCGTGCCGGGACAGAAGGTGTCGACAGCGTCTAAAAAGAAGATCTACATCGAGCTACCATATAAGGGAGATTTCGCCAATATGAGGACAACGAAGCGCATAATTTCCGCAGTCCAGAGGACTTATTATGATGCCGAAACTGTCCTTATCAACCGGACTAATCGAATACCTGTTACCCCAATGACGGAAAGACAACCTATTGGCGCCAACTCACATTGCATTTACCAATTTACTTGTAGTTGTGGTATACACTACATCGGCCGTACCAATCGATTGTTGAATTCCAGAATAAGGGAACATGTACCTAAATGGTTGCAGCGTCAAATCACCCCGTCCTCGGTTGCTCATACCATCTGTTCACGTAAACCACCTGCTTCATCCATAGGTAGGCATTTACTGGCCACCTGTCACCAGTTTGATCCGGCCACAATGTTTACAATCGTGCTAAGACATATTAACACCCCTTTCCTACGTTTTGCAGAGGCAGTCGCGATCAGCCGTATCAAACCCGCACTCTGTGTGCAGAAACAGCTGTTCGTAAGCCTACGGCTGTCCTGGGCGTAGGGGTGTCACGCCTGCCCCTCTACCCTGTTCTAACTTGTCCTGGTCTCACCCTATCTGTCGTCTTATATATTTTCATGTTATTGTGTTGACACTGAAGAGACAATACGAAATGTTGACATCTGCCAGTGTTCGTCTTCTTACGGCATTATTCAAATTACTAAAGGGATCTAATTGTTTCATACTATTACTCTCGGTCTCAGTTTTGGCACATCCTTTTTCGTGTTCTGCATGTGAAATCACCTCACTCCTGAGCTTTTCGAGAATACTTTTGGCCTCATTCTGAAGCAGAAACTGAGAACTCACCAACAGGCCGCAACGTAAAACGTTACGCGACACTTCGGGTCGCTCACCCGTTAAACATTGCGTCTGAGATACATAGAGACGCCTGCCAAATCCATTCTTGCATTGTCATGTAACAGTGTAGCGAAAACGACACGACAGGAGGGGTAGACGTTTATTGCACACCGAAAATGGGCACATAAGGGTCTCACGCGCGCCATCGAATATCGACTAGATTTCCGTCCCACAACGCAACACAGGTACGGATGTTAGAGGCGAGCCAGTCCTTTCGCCTCGGGAGCTCCGGACGTTAACCTGACACTACAAGTCATCGTGCTCATTCTCACTTTTTGCGCTTCGTTTATTAAATGCTGCTACTGTGGAATATCGTTAGGGTGTACGTATCCAGTCGGTCCAGGGTAGCGGCACACAATTGAGCGTTGTCACATCCAGTTTTAACATTTTTCTTCCGGATTACGTGAAGTATAACGTGAATTATAACTGCTCCCCATATTGCTTTGTGTATGCTTATTCAATTCCCATTTCAAACTATCGTTATGCAGCAGTGCAGTTAAATGGGTAGACGCTCAAGCTGAAGAATCACTTATCCCTTAATTTATTTAGTTTGTACTCCAACCATCCTACGGAACTTGTCGTACATCTGAATTTTACTCGTGATAAAGCATTGTTTGTTATTAATTGTTCTTAGGTATCAATCATGCTCTAACCACTTACTAAGATTTTCTCTTAATTACCTAAGTAACCTATTCATTTTGGACAACACACAATATCAATAACATTTATCAACACACTATTAGACTAGCAGATGAATATCCATTTGAGACATTTTGAGTGCAGCCGACCAAAATGTGACTCATGCATCCAAAATGCTGTACTTAACTAAGCATGCCTCTTTATGAGTGCCTCGCGCATATCAAGATTGAAATTATTTATTTATTTATATTCAAATGTTCAAAACCCAATTGCGCGTTCAATAAATAAATGGGCAAAGATGTGGCCGCATTCGACAAATGTACTTCATGTGAGTGAGGATCCAATCGCTACTTCACAGGCTAACTAGAACCAAACAATGCTAAGTATGTATACTTCGGACATCACAGAAGAAATATTTCGGGGAAAGACACTGCTATTAATTTGCAAATTTTTAACATTCCAAGCCACAGCCCATCGAACTATTAATGAGTACGCTTCGGATACTAATTGGTGGCATAATATGTAATAGATGTGCCACATACTGAACGTCAGAGAAGAGAGAGACATCTGGACCCAATGTATATTATACAGGCTACCAGGAATGAAGAGTGCATCAGAAAGTGCGACGAGGAACGTAGCGCGTACTCACCAGGCAGAAAGTGTGTACGGGATGTACCATCGATAAAACCAATGGACAGTCGGAAGTTACAATGACCCATAAAATCCAACGTTGTGAATTACTGAAGCAGCAGATATTTTGAATTCACTACACAATCCATTCTCTTCATTTGCTTTCTCCCACGAGCGCTTCGTCATGTCGACAGCTGGTATTGTTTTTTAGCTATGTGAGAGTCAAAGCAAAGTTTGGGCAGCAATCAAGATAGGTAATTCGTAAAACAAAACCTGTTAAACTTTACGGAAATAGGAGGCGTTAGCTGGTTGCAACAGGTTTACATTGGTCTTCTTACCATTTCGCATCTGCTGTCATCTACCTGTTCATTGGTCCATACACTCTGTCCTTTTAACCAAGTCTGCTTTGCCTTCGGCCATGTCCACTTTGATCCATGATAACTGCCATCGAGTCCCCATTGTAGTCCGTATAGCCTGCGTGACCATAGTCAACTGCCTAGGGTGGCGCCTGATTAGTTTTCACTTCTCTGGCTGATCGTCACCATCATTTGCCGGTCGAACAGCCGCTAACACATCCCGAGTCGCTGGTGTGGTATCTTTGATATGAACACTGGACCCGCTCGCGGCCATCTGAGCCAATCCAATCCCTGTTTATGACAATGCTGTGCTCTGTATTCTAAGCTCAATCATTGCTGGCTACTATCTCCGACTCGCAATAGTATGGTCAGCTCACATTGGCAGTGGTGGATTGGCGTTATGCCTGCTTACGCCGCATCGGTCATCTTGGCACAAACGACCAGCCACAACCATGGGTATAGACTGTAAATGAATTGTTGATTAAGGGATTACCGAGGAATGAATCCGGTGTCAGCCGTTTGTGAATTCACAGAGTTAGGACCCTGGAAGTTCGTGAAGGGACAAATAAAGCCTGGATAATAATCATCTTAATCAGAGTGTTATGTAACACGAACCCTCAATAGAAACATGACCTTCAGATGCATGCCCTATGAACGAGTAGAAAATAAGGCGTCAGAAGACAAACAGAATGGTCTAGGGTATAGCGATTTGCAGCATAGTCGGTACCTCCACTGAGAAACACTGAGAGGCGTTTCATAACTTGGATGATAATTACGTGACAAATAAAGCATTTCTGATCTGACCAGCGTCAAGCTGCCATAATCGTAGAGCAGGTTTGCAATGAAGTATTTGTGGAATAAACTTCATGACATGCTGGGCAGATTTATCATTGTTTCCTTGCTTCCATCTTTGATCAGAAGGATCCGATTTCTAATTTCAGAAGTGAATAAAAAATTGATAAAGTTGCGAATGTACCACTCACCTTGTCATGGTCGCTACATGGGTGCAGTTAGCAAGTAACCTAGGTGAAGTGAGGTCATGATTTCCACTTGAGCGCAGGATGACTTCACAATCGTACTGTACTGAAAGTGGAAAACAGTGTCTCCTTATTTTCGGTTGAAATACTTTCGGCCTGATTGTCATTATCAATTACCCAAATGATTAGCTTAAGCCGATGATACAGCTTTGCAGTTTATACTGGAACAATCATTACAATATCGTGTTTCTATCAGTAACTGTACAAAATAAACGACTGGATGGATGAACTTAAAATTGGAATTAAATCATAGTGTACTGTTCGGAGCACTAATCGGTCACTGAAGCAGAACCTGCTACGATCGATATTGGGTTTTCGTCAACAGCCGCAGGTTCGCCGAACCCTGAACTTCGACAACTTGTTTTATTTTGAAGGTCAGTCGAATGAGAGCACTACTGGCCACCTTTGAATCGGAAGTGGTAGTATTGAAAGCGGAACTGGGTCGAAAAAGGTCACAGATAGCTTCCCTATCAGCCGAATCGGAAGTCAAAGACAGCTTACTACGCCAGTTGGACTCTGCTTTTGCATGTGTCGCAGCGCGGTGGAAGGAACGGGACGAGAAGTACGGCCTAGAACTGACAAGAATGAGCGAGGCGGAACGACGGGCCCAGGAAAAACTGGAAAATATACAAAGGGAATTTGAAAACTGTAAACTAGAGTGAGTTTTAGACTACAATCAAGCAATTTGAGATACTTAAGGTTATGTAAACTGACCTTCCGCCACGTCCTAATATGATATAAAGTGGGACCAACGAAAGTTAGATACTGTTTGATTCCCCTGGTTTTACAGTATGTTGCGCTGAGGGCTAGATTTGGAAAAAACATGATATTGAATAAAGCCGATGAGTGATCAATAACTGCTCATTAGCGTATTCTCAATATTGCCTGAGTTTGCTGGTTAGTTCCGAAAGGATTTAATCGTGTGACGCTGGTGGTCCTTTAGACCATGGATATCTTACTATGTGCACAAGGGTGACCAGTGCATAAAATGCAATATCGTACTTGCTCTTCTGATCACCCATTATTCTCCGTTATTCAGCAATTTTACTTAAAGGCAGTGATTCAACGTGTCGGTTAAGACTGCACCTTAGCGTACCCATGCTTTCAAAGTCCGAGGGATGGTGATCTGACAAGTTTGAAACTAGGTCAACGATGTAACCGTATTTAAGGTGGCATTAAACGGAATATATCAATAGCATGGCAGCACAACTGAGGAAAAAAGGACTGAGTAAGCGCAAACTAGTCCCACCCAACAAACTGCTGGTTACTGAGGTGGCACATTTGCTTGTTAAGAAGCCGGCGTTTAGTACGATCTTAGACAGCCAGCTGAAAAAGAGTTGTGTACGCAAGATGAGCCAATCAGTAATCATTTAGGAATCTTAAAAGCTTAACTTTCCGAAGGCTCTTTAGAAGGGTTTCAACACCGCGTCACCCAATCGATCAACGCAAGAGTAGTGACTTCATACGGGTTAAAAAGTACTGTTATACAAGTCCCAATGGGTTGACTGGGGGGTTACGAAAAAATGAAAATAAGCACTTCTCCTAGCAAATAAAAACATCTTTTGTAGTGCTGAAGTCCTGCACTCCGCGTAGTTTCACTGCACCAATCATTGACAAATCAGAAATGTTAGGTATAGCCTAATGGTATAATGCTACAAAGGTGTATCGCGGGTAAAATATACAATGCTTAATATGTTATGTGGGGTGGAAATTATTGGGAAAATAAGAATTCATGATAATATAAAAGTGTTTTGGTAGACTAAACATAGTGTTCGCATTGAGAAAGGCATAGACGCGCCGAAATATTCGCGGATAAAGTATAAATCCACTGGTTGGAATTCTGGAAACACACCGTTTGGTTGCGTTATGTAGTCTTCTGTGTAACACATTATAAAATGAAAGGTGAATGGGACAAGCCGTCATTCAGTGGTTTTTGAAAAATCGTTCTCTTGGAGTGGACGATATCTGACCAAAAGCTCTGCAGTCGGTAGCTAGTGATCTACCAGAACCACTGGCTGTTGTATATCACCGATGTTTAGAAAAGAACCATATTCCATCAGTATGGAAGCGAGGGGTCATCACTCCTATTCATAAAGGAGGTAGCCGCACTGACCCCTACCAAACACCGTCCAATAACACTACTTCCTGTACTATCCGAAGGGATGGAATCAACCATCGCAGATGCGCTGATGCAGTAACTGGAAAGCCATAAGCTAATAGCCCCAGAGCAACATGGCTTTCGTCAAAGCGTTCGTGTAATACTAACCTATTAATTGCACTTAATAACTGAACTGAAGCTGTTGATGATGAAGCAGGAGTCGATGTCATCTACCTGAACTTTTCAAAAGCGTTTGATCGCCTAGACCATCGAATTATTCTTTAGAAGCTTTGGAACTACGGTATTAGCGACCCAATCCTGAGTTGGATTAGCAATTTTCTACACGAAAGACAGCTAGCGGTGAGAGTTCGAGTATCATTGTCCGATGCAACCGATGTGGTGTGTGGTGTACCACAAGGCTCAATGATTGGACCATGTTTATTTTTGGTGTTCATTAACGATTTGGCGAGATCAATTGCTTCCGATTTCCTAATTTTCGCTGATGATATCAAGATATGGCGAAAGATCAGAGGACCGCATGATTACGAACGGCTCCAAGGCGATCTTAACACGGTGTTAAACTGGTCAGTTCAAAAGGCCCTACCATTCACGGTAGACAAATGTCGCGTTGTACAATTACGCCATAGACATAATTACAGTGCATTTGAGAAGAGTCTTTCGTTTTTGCTCAGTCGCCGCGCTGGTCAGGGGTAGATTGGAACGCACTAATTTGCCGACCCACCAATGGCATGTAAGTCTACTGTATTTACTCACCCACGCATGTCTGGGGGTGTGAATACGACGTGAGGACGCATATCGGTGCATGTGTCCTTGAAATATGTTAATGACCCTCGGGAGTTCGACACAGGTCAGTTCAGATTGGGTCGATGCCGACGTTTTTGGCTGGTGGTTTGCAACATCTCGACAGCAGTGCATAATGCACTGGCTACCGTGTTCAAATGTTGGTGGCGCTTCGACAGTTGCTTAATGTTATCCCAGCAAATGATAAAAGGGTTAGTGACAACACTGTTGTAGACTGAATGTTACCTTCACATAAACCATCTTAGCAAAATAAGAATTCGTAACAATTAGACGGTGAAAATATGAGATGCTACTTCTGCATAAATGAGTCCGGAACAATGTCTACCAGCTACTGGAGGCTCACCGGATCTATTTGCAAGTACGCGGCCGCCTAAGGAGTTTATTCCAGCAGAATACAGAAATAAAAAGAAAGCTGAGTGCAGTGGCTTTTGAACAGATTTTATAAAATCTCATTTTATTCCATCAGCTTGGACAATTAAATCAAAATCAGTTTCGCAATGAACACGAGAAGGAATTTTACCGTATTGGTATGGTAAAAGAATCCTAGAAGTAGGTAAAGAAGCGTTTAGGTCAAATCTAATCACCCATTTTAGAAAGAAAGGTGATGGAAGAATCCAGCGCGTACGATGCATTTATTTGATGAAACCAGTCTGTTTACGGCTGAATATTCAAGCGTTGTTGGTGTATTAAGCATTTTATTGACTTGACTTGAGTTCCCCGCCTTGGCAGACTTGAATGTATAAGTATTCCTTATCGCCCAGATACGTATCCGGCCGATTTGGAAATCTTTAATATGCCATCGTACTAGAATTTTTGGTATTTTAAGTATCCATGGAAACTGTGTAAATAGATCACTGACGATTCACGCTCAACCGTTTGTTCCACGGTCATGACACATTCAGTAGTTGCGAATGACTTAACAAGCGTAAAAGTATTGCCCATTAGTTAAGTTCCCGTGGGCGGTGGGACTCTTTTAACTTCCGATATAATTCCACGGGATGTACAGCTGAGCGGCTAATCGTACTCCCACAACGACAGAACAACAACAGCTCATGGTGACGTGCTGGTATAGATTTGTTTTCCTATTTCGTTAGACTGCTGCTACCAAAAGAAATGCGGATGTTCTACGTGTGCCCTAAAGCTCGATCCACCTGAGTGTTGGCGAAATGTGGGTGGGTGAGATTTACTGTTTTATGTAAAGCTGCCGTTTGCACTAGTTGCAAAATACCCAAGACAAAATGAACCGTAATCGCTTTCACCTCATACGTGCTTTTGACACGTCAAAGAAATTGACCAGGGGTTCAAATTCCCTACAGGCCTTGTGAACTGGAAGCAGAGAGTGCGGAGATGATATCTGAGATTGGGGTAGCACTACACGTCTGCTGGTGGACTCGCACCAAACCGCAATCAGATCCCTCATGTATGAATTTGAAGTTGACGAGCTGCTAGCAACTTGTCATGGAGTGTGAGGCATGAATCCAGTAATACCTAGTGAACATCCAGTGGCCCTAGCTTGGCGAAAGCTGCTGCTATCACACTCGCTTCCGTAGCAGTCATCCTAGGAATACTGTAAACTGGCTTCCATGAACTTACCTGAGCTACAAATCAAGTGGACTGGTCACTACAGCAAGATTAATCTATCGAAGCAATATAGGCAATCCTAAAGGAGTATGGAAAATGATTGTGCGCAAGATCCGTACCCCTCAATTATCAGATGATTGCACTAATGAAACTAAAATGGTTCGACAAGTATATTTTATTTGATTAGACATTGAAGTGTACTAAGGAATAAATTCAGTCCGATGAGTTCTGCCGCCGATTACGTGGTGTCATAATCATGGCTGATTTCACGCTACAGCACCAGTGTTCAAAAATCCCAGGCACAACGAAGACGACCCACAAGAGGATCATTCATTAAATGACGCTGCACTTGAGGAGTACAGATGACGGAGCAATGTTAAGGGGTTCAGCC